AAAGGTTTAGTATGTTAATTTTTATGTTAATTATATCTTATTATTTTTTATTTTTATTTTTTCTTATTTTTATTCGTATTTTTTCTTATTATTCTTATTTTACTTGGATCAATTATTTGTTTCTGACTCTTTTCGTTTCTTATTCTAATAAATAAAATTCATTTTGGTGTTCGTTTAGTCCAGGAGGTCAATCGTAACTTTACGTGAAATTTTTCACTTTTCATTTTTCACTTTTTACTTTTCATTTTTCACACCTTGACATTTCACGTGAAACTTTTCATGTACAGTGATTATGTATGTAGCTTGGATGCGTGGAAAGTGAAATCATGAAACATAGTTTCATAGGTTTTATAGCTAATGAAAATTATTTTACTGATACAGTATTATATACATCTTTTAATAACCAATTGTATATGTACTACATACACTTAATCCTAACGCAGCTCTAATCTTCTCTAATTCCGAAGCATATTTATTCCGCTAGATTTCCGCTTTTCCGCCACCAAGGTACATGGCGAAAAAGTTCACGTGAAAAATTTCACATTTTCACGTTTGAGAGAATTACATGATCCCGCAAAATCGTACATGATCATAGGTTCACGTGAAACTTTTCACTTTTCACGTTTCTGCCCTAGGGGAAAAGTTACATGATCGATGTGTACGAATCACAGTCAAAGAATAGGAGAATAATCGATAATTGGTCAATTTCTTATGGCTTAAGGCTTAAATCACCTATTGTAGACCGGGACTTGCGCAGTACTGCAAGCAAATCCAAAGCAGGATTTCTTAGATAGTTGCATAGATAAGATACATCCCTGCGGAGACGAACGACAAACTGCGCTGCAGTCACTTTCGTAGACGAAGTAAACGAACAAGTGCGGTAGTGACTGCATAAACGAATGCACCCATAAGTTTAATTTAATTGACAGAGTTTACGAAGATAATACCAATGGAGGCGTTTTCGAAAACTTTGAAATAGTGATAAATGTGATAAATAATTTTTATCAAAAAATACAGCTGCATTATTTAATATTGCCAATCTAATATTGTAACATTTGAATTTTTTATGGCAGATGATACTTTCCAATTTTCACTACAGAATGAAACTACTGGCAAATGATTATTAAACGAAATTATCTTTAAATGCAAAAGCTAATCAAAAGAAACAATAGAAAATGCATTTAGAACATATATATAATAAGTAAAATAAAGTTCGTGTATATTAAGTAGATAATAATAGAGTAATAGACAGTAGATAATAGTAATAACATATTGTTTGTTTACATAATTTTATCATGATTGAAAAAGAAAAAAGTGAAGGAAAAATACAATCAAAAACTTTTATATGTAATGATAAGTATAGAAATAATAGTTATCATACAAACAATATTATAAGTGAATGATATTCATAAACTTCAAATATTTATACAATTTATATAGAGATTTATATAGAGATTCATTGTGCGATTATCTTACAGCTTCTGTAGGTGAAGTAGAATGGCAATACGATTTTATAAAAAGAAGTTATAGTGATAAATAAGTAAATATAATTTGTTTATATAATATATTTATTATAAATTATAATTAGCATCAATTTGCAATTCTGACTTATATTTACAATCTTCTATTATATATAACTTTTGTTAAAAAAAAAATCAGTTTTATATGTAAATTTATTATCTCATCTCTTTTTAAATCTAAAAATTTCAATAAAAAAACAAATCTTTCACATATAAAATATCTATTTATTATTAGAATATTGATCTATTAAAATATTTCCATTTATCTAACATATTTTGTACAATTATTGAGGTATCGTAGGTAAATGATGAAATAACTGTTTCATTAATATTTCACATATGCAACCATGTTTCAAGGTATATCTTCAAGGTAAGAAATTACTGTAAAAATTACAATCAATAAAATCTATATATCTTAATAATATTTTACTATTTTAAATGCGATAAAATATTACAGAATATTACAATAGAGAATTTTATAAGTATTTAAATTTCTTAATTAAATTACTTTTATAATAATTAAATTTTGAACAATAAATAACAATAACTTATAAGAACGCTAGAAGTTATCCTCTCGGATTTTTTCAAATTTAAAATGTGCAGTATATTATATTTCTACTGCTAAATGTATTGCGAGCTTTTAATATCTTTTGTATTCAACAATATAAAATGCATAAAACGTTAGGCTATTAAGGCTATTAAAACACTATGTAGTGACTCAAATGTTGCTTTTTATACTTTTTTCTGAATTTTTTTAAATTTTAATGCAAATCTTAAATTTTTAATCTTATTGTTATGTAAACATATTATGAATAAATAAATATGTTTAAATAATAAAATATGTTACACGAAAATTTCAAACTCGAATTTCTCGCAAATGCTTAAGTTATATCAAATGGCTTTATTATAAATTAATGAGAATATAACAATATATTTCAATATATTTCAATATATTTCAATATATTTCAATATATTTCAAGATCAGCATAATCCCAAAGGACAATTTATAATATTTTTTAAATATAAATTACTAAATAATAAAATTGAAAGCATCTTTATTATTAAAAGGAAATTTAAAAAATACAATATATTATTACGTTTTGGGTAATGGTACAGAAAGAGCATCAATTATCATTTTTCTTCTTATTAATTTTTCAGGCGATTCAGGAATATTTTCCAAATGTACACGAACATAATCAGCAAATGATTGATCAACCGTTTTTGTTTCTGTAGTATTTTTTTTCACACTTTCATGAAAAGTCATACTGTTATTTATGAATGTATCATCAGTATTTACTGACTGATCAATTTTACAATTCTTTAATCTGGTACCATTTATTTCTTTGTTATAGTTAACATGACTTTGTTCAAAATTTTTTATATCTTGAGATATATCTTGCCATACATTAATATTTCTTTTGTGAGATAGTTTAATAGCATTATGTTGTTTATACTCCGATTTATCAGTAGACTTATTACTATATTTTTCAAGAGTTATTGAGTTTACTTCTATATCTTTTATAAATCGAAATGCGTTCCTTTTTCTTTTAATTGTTGAAAAAGTTCTAAAGGAATACAATTTTTTTTAAAAATTCTTAATTTTTAAAGAATAATTATTTTAACTATGATATATTTCTACTTACTTTCTCTTTTTAATATAGTTGTCAAGAAAAGACAGTTGACTAAAAAATACAAATGTTTTGCGTTTTGAATAAATACTTTCACTTTTAGTATTTCTTTTTTCACGACTATATTGATCTCTTAAAGAAGTGCATCTTGTTTGACAATATTCAGGAGTATAATGCTTACCTATAAAAAAATAAATAATTAATGATAAATGTCAATTTAGTTAATCAAAGGAACTCAACATTTCAAAATACTTATTATATTAATTATATTATATTAATAGGACTACATTATTATTATAGAGTGAAAATGTTACAACCTAGGTTTTTTTCTTGCATAATAACAGAAATTTCAATCCAAGCATTTTCTTTTATCAATTTATTCTTAAAATCCTGATGATTATGATCATATAAATATCTTCGTTCTTTATATAATTCAATAAGATAATCGTCATTATCTTTCTGTTCACTAGCTATATTTTCAATTGCAGATTCCGTATCTTCAACATATATCATAGAATCGTCTATATGATTATTACTTAAAATATAATGATGATCTTCCATTTTCTAATTAATATCTAAAATATCATTTAAAAATGTAGAAGAAAATATTTTTGATTGAATACTGTTTCTGTAATCAAAAAGGATTATTTCTAATATCATTTTTTTATTGACAGAAAAAACATCAAACATATCATAAGATGTTAAATTTAAAAAATTTAAATATT